ATGCTAGCATATGAGCTGATGGTACAGATCGGGCGGTGACACAACCTCTTTTTCMCATTAGCTTATTGTTCTGAGCTAATGCTAAGAGCTAATGCTAGCAGCCCCATAGAGAAAGTTGGTTAACATTAGCACTCACCTTGATGCCTGCCGCAGAGGAGCCAGCATCTCCCTAAGTTAAAAAAAAAAGGCAGACAAACATTATAAATGCTCAATATGARAAGCTAAAAGTGACAGATTTTATATTAAAACTCCAAAGGGGCTTGCTGAAAGGTTAAAAAAAATGCATCAGTGCAAAGCTACACAACAATGATTTCACYCTCGCTCAACAAATCTGAGCAACAGCTGCATTCTTGTGGCTCAAACTTTCAGGAAATCCGAGTAGAAAGTCGACCGTTTGCTGTTTTAACCGGTGAACGCCGAGTGCACTTTTTTTCACAGGCGTTTGATACAGCGTTCGTGGGATTTCACTGTTTTCATAACGTCAGAGTGTAAGTGTGTAGTAATGGAGACACGACAGGCTGAAATCTTACACTATAATAAAAGGAATCCACAGTAAAGGAGGCTTGATAGATGTGCTGCAACCATTCAAAAAGTTGTTTTTTCTCTTCTAAGACATTTCCTCAGGTGATGTATTGAAGTGGATGGAGACAGAGCTACTTATATCACATTTTTAAAGCGAAGTTGTCCAGACATCCAGAWCCCGTGGCTCTGTGTGGAGCGTACAGTAACAGCAGACATAAAACAAGGGGGCCAGTAAGTGTAATTATGAGCGTTTGGTGGGAAAAAAGGAGGAGGAGGGTGATTRGTTTTGGTGTGGACTCAGTGGTTTTCACCATACATCAGGTCTCACAAGTCACTGCAGGAATGCCTCTCGCCCTCAGCTTTTTATGGGGATCATTATGATGACACAAGTCAGTTTTAAATAACAGCTTTTATTTATTCAGCAGCTTTTTTGGATGTTTTAATTATTATTATTATTATTAATTTTATTTTTGGTTTGTTGCTCACTTTAAGAAGCTTCTCATGACTTTCATTTAAATCTGATTTTGTTTTGTTAATGCCTGATATCTGAGTGGACACAGATGAAGCTGCAAAAACATGTTTCTTATATCCAGTTTTATGAGTTATAAAAGCTTCCACATGATTTTACGCGATAAAGTAGAAATCCTTTTGGCCACATATATTTCCAACCAAAGCAGGCTTCATGTTGTGGTTGACCTAAAAATGATGATAAAACAGAGAGATCCAACTTTTTTTTTTATAAATACAAGAAAAAAAAAGAACCATTCAAATCAGAGCTGCTTTATGGTTGCGCCATGTTAGAAAAATTTAAAGCTATAACAAAACCAGTTACAATAAACACGTTTTTCCTCAATCACCAAACATCATTGGTGCACAAAGCGTAACATGGACATCATGGTTTAAAATCCTTCTGTTTCACATTTAAATCATTCGGTTGGGGTCTATATAAAAAGGAAAAGTAAAGCTTCGGACTAAATTCCTCCTTATTGTAGCTCACAAGCCCCGCCCCTTTTCTGGGGTGTCTCAGACCAACTCATTTTGAGGCTGTCTCTTTAAATCTAAATGAGGTRMTTCCAACCCTGCTCACCTTCAGCCTCCTGGTCCATTCTAGTTTGATAGAAGGGTTTACGACTGTATAGTGACACAGAAACTTTATATTTACAATAACAATGTTCGACACTGATTTCCATTCCGGTTCTGATCCCGATAACACTCAAGCTGGTATTTGTGATACTAATACTTTGTACAAATACACCTAATGTGTCTGGTAAATCTAAAATCACCACTTCTTAAAGAATACAAGACATCAGAATAATTTATTTATATATTTTAAACTCAGAACTACATGGAGYCARCSTCCTCATTTACAAYATAGCTGAGCTGATACAACAGAAAAACCAAACAGGAGAATTTAAAAAGCTCAGATTGAACCTGGATTTACATCATTTGAAATTGAAAGCATTGGTTTGAAAATGAATGAATCTCAAAACTGAATTTAATGTTTCAAAGCAAAATCATTCAGATTCAATGATTTAAAATGTATTTTGTTGATTTTGACTTTCGCTTTCAGTCCTATAATTCAATTTACAGTCCAAAATTCAGTTTTTTGTGTCACACAATCAGAGCCACAGAGTAATAAAAAAACAAATCGACAGATTTACATTTCGAATTAGCAAAACATCCTTTACGGCAGAGGTTCCCAAACTTTTTATCTTCTGACCCACAAAATATCCATGGCAAAAACTTTTGACCCCAAATATTACTGGTCTGAGTACACAAACTTTGTTAATAACCATAAAACACAGCTTGTACACAAATATAAATACTTATTTAAACTTATTTTGTATTTTTGTAATAGTTATAGGGAAAATATTACATCAGCAATTATTTTATTACCCTTTAAATTGATTTCTGGAGATTATCCAAGGTGCTTGATGACCCATAATTGGGTTCCAAGCCCAACTTTGGGAACCAAAGTGCAGTGGTTCCCAAACTTTTTACTTTTTGACCCACAGAATAGTGCAAAACAGTATCAAAGACCTGTGCCCCTAACTATTTTTGGATGATAAACATTTGTATC